TAATCCTAATTATAAATTCCGCGGCGTTAGAATTTATTTTTTAATAGATTTGAATGTACATATAGCCAACGTTCCTAATAGAACCCAACAGTTTAGTCATTATAGGTGTCTGCATTGCAAAAGTTAATAAGTTACATAGTGCTTGTTTGTAAATTTTCTTAAGTAACACTCAATCCACATTCAAAATGTAACTCAACTTGGCTATCGCGCGGCAAGGCTCAACATAGGTGCAGAGTCCATAACTCATGTTTTTTGGAGCTGTTGCAAGGCTCAAAGAGTATGGGATTTAGCTCCTATTAGCTGGGATTGCCTTTCTCTTCCTAATGCTTCATTTTCTGACTGGTGGTGGGCTATGTGCTCATTGAGTTCTAAAGCTATTGATGAAAGCAGGATTCAGCTCACTACGTACTTGCTATGGTGGTTGTGGAAAAGCCGCAACCTTTTGGTTTTTCAGAAGGAGAAGATCCCTGAGCTTTGTCTGGTTAGACAAGCTGTCAGGGAATGGCAGGAATTTTCAGTTATTTAGTTTGTTTTGTTTCAGTTAGATGATTTAGACTAGTTGGACAGTTTATCATCTGATTTGTGGTGTATTTGTTTCTCTAGGATAGGGCCTCAGCCTTGTGCTGCTTATGCTAGTTATTGGCTTGTAGACCTCGTCTGAGAGGTCTCTCACTTCATGCGATTGTAGTTCTTATCTTGGACATTGTATTTCTTTTTATTTTATGAGATGCCTATCGTTTTGACAAAAAAAATAAAAAAAAAATAAAAATAAAAAAAAACAACTCAACTTTAATTCAACCATACTATCTCTTATTATCAACATAATTAAATGATACTAATCTATCATTCTTAAACATTATATCAACTTTAACTCACTATTCATACACACATATAATTTTAACTAACCATTACGTCATATCATTTCTGTTGATAAACGGATTTGATCAACCTTTTTTAATGTTAAACTTTGGGATTAATGCGGAAATGATGTTAAACTTTGGAGTTTATGCGGAAACGAAACGATTTAGTTGATTAAACGTGGGATATTTTAGAACAGGTTCAAGTCGGTAGTTCGGACTTGAAGACGGGTTTTCCGTAGAACAATAACGTTGAAATGAGTGGTGAACCGAGGTGATTAATACAGAATTTAATGTGTCGGAAAAAGATCCTCGTATCGTGTTTAATGCTGCTATTTATAGTAACTGTGGGCTTGTCTTTTGAGGGGATGCGGCAGCATTTAATGTAGTGTGACAGGGCACAGACTTTTTTCAGCAAGTGGGACCCCTTAGCAATGATGCCCTCACGTGGCTCTCAGACAGCTGATGGACGGGCATTTAATGCTGCCTGTCGATACCGACGTCAACTCGTATTTGGGTCGTCTTTACTGCGAGGTCGGTATCCTGATGTAGTCGGTCCTCCGAGGTCGGCTTATACAGCTCGGGGAGCTTTCTCTTCGCTCTCCTCGGCTCGATCCCTTATCCTTCCTTTTATCCACGTGTCATTCATCCGACGTCCCAGAGGATTTTTATGTCAACAATTTCTCTCTTACTTTTCATCAAATCAACTTTGACTATTTTACTTTAAATATTGTTTTAATATGGACTCAAAATACCACTAAAAATTAACTATACCACATTTTTGAAAATGAATACTAGTTAACAAAAAAAAAAAAAAAAAAACTCATTTTGAACAAATATATTTGTATCAAGCATAAAAACTAATTTCAAATTCGAATTGTTACTCTTTTTCTATTTATATTTTTCTGTGGGTGGGGAGATATCTATCTACGATAGAATTAGACAACACAGTTTCTAAATGTAGAAAGTTTTCTAGTGGGCCCCATCTTGTACTTTCCCTTTTTGAAAAGTCTCAACTTACGTTTGACACGTGTTGGATCAAACAACAATTCAAGAAAATCTACCACGTGGCTCACGTCTTCGTTTAGAGTTTCACAATCTGCTTTAAAATTTTTTATTAATTAAAAATTCATTGTCGTGTTGTTATTCATTCATATCATACAAAAGTATTAAAAACTGCCACACGCCATTATTTGTTTGGTCACCATCTGAGAATAGTATTGAGCATCTTGATTGGTAGTGGGATTATTTGATCGCTATGAATAGATAGATCTATTCCGACGAATATGCCCTCAGAGACTCTGACCACCCGAAAAGCAATTTTTTACCTTGCCATTGTTGTCTTGTACCTACCACCGGTTGGAAGTCCCTACTTGCAACAACACTTCATTCAAATGGCGTTTAAAAAGCTCCATATGACTTCATTCAAATGGCGTCTAAAAAAGTTCCATATGAACATTTTTATAGAAGCATGAATACGGTTTCCTGAAATTACCAAATAAAAAAAAAACAATTATAAGGGAAAAAAGGTATATATTCAATGTGAATATTGAAATTGTTTTACCGAATA